GCAAGAGATCTAAGTCCAGTTCAACTTGAGTGCTCTTTCTTATCTCCCGCTCGTTTCCCTTGACCGTTAGTAGCTCGGATTCTTGTATAGGTAGTCCTTGACTTAACAACGGTTCGTTTAGTGACCGTTCAAAGTTACCGTGGCCCTGAAAAAAAACGACTTGTGACCCTTTTTCACACAACCGTTGCAGATTCCCCCTGGTCACATGATCAACATTCAGACACTTGGCAACTGACTCCTATTTATGGCGGGTTGCAGAGTCTCAAGGTCAAATTATCCCCTTTTGCGACCTCCTAACAAGCCAAGTGAAGTCAGATTCACTTAGCAACTGTGTGACAAACTTAACACCCCCCTCCCCCCTCTCAGTGATTCGTTTAACAATTTTGGCAAGAACAGTCATAAAATGGGGTAAACCTCACTTAACCACAATGTGAGGACCCAAAGGGGCATGGCACAAAGGCAACACAGTCAGATAATCAGTAGGAGTCCCTTTATTAGCTCCAAACTTTGCCCCCAATGTCCTGGTTACCTTCTGGGCTGGAGAAAAAAACTCCCAGGAAGAGCCTTTGGCTGCAGAGAGTCAAGTCCAAAAGGTGGTCAACAAAAACTGTAACTATAAGTCCAATCAAGGCAAAATGAGATAATTAATCCAGCAGGGCAAGAGAAGGAATTCCAGATGTGAAGGAACAGCCATAATTCAACACGGTTGGGAGAACTCCAGGAACACAGATAAGCAAAGTCAACACAAAATGAACTCACGTTTGTTCCCAACAGCTGTCGCACTCAGCTTGCTTTAAACTCCCTTCCCAGCTGTGGCTAATAAAGGGAATCAGGGCCCTTTCCTTCCCTGTAAGCCACACAATCCACATTGCTCTCTTCTCGGTTCCTCCCTGCGTGCCCTAGGATGAAGAGGGGATGGGCCTGGGTCTTCCTCTGAACTCCCTCTCCCTTGTTCTACCTCTCCCCTGCTCTGCCCAGCCGGACTTTGCCCTTCCCCGGTTTCCTCCACTGTCAACGGAGCCACACACCCGCTCCCAGTCAGCTGCTCGTCTTCCTCCTCCTCGGATTATTTATACTTTATACTCCTTGGAACAGCCTGAATCTCCTGATTTGACTTGTTTAGTGACTTTCTAAGTTGCAACGGCACTGGAAAAAAGGGCTTGCGACCGATCTTCGCACTTAACAACCGTTGCAGCGTTCCCAAGGGTCACATGATCAAAATTTTGGACACTGTACATCCCCGCCTGTGTTTATAATGTTCGTAGCGTCCTGAGATCACGTCATGGCCATGTGCCACCTTCCCAGCCAGCAAAATCAAGGGGGAAACCCAGATTCACTTAACAACAGCATGATTCGCTTAACAACCGCAGCAATTCGCTTAACAACAGTGGCAGAAAGAAAAAATAAATCTTGGGCCCCATTACGGTCCTAAGTTCAAGGATTACCTACGGGAAGCCTCCTGCTGCTCAGGCACACAAAACAACTCCAGCACAACCTGAGCACCTGGAGATTAATTAAGAGCGCTTTCCACTCATTACTTCTTCCTCTTAATTTGGGGGGGGGATTTCGGTGAGGCTGTCGGTTAGATCTTTCATCAGACTTCATTATCCATAGTTTGAACAGTCCCAGGGCTGTGAGGTCCCAGGTGCTTTTGTGATGGAAGGTTGAAGCCTTTCCAAGAATCTACCATAAATCGTGTAGTTGGAGGCCCTAAAGATGCTCAGAGACGGATCGGATAGGATAGGATATAGAATAGAATAGAGAATACAACACAATAGAATAGAATTAGAACAGAATAGAAAATAGAATAGAATAGAATAGAACACAGAAGAGAAGAGAAGAGAAAAGAGAATAGAATAGATATTGGAATAAAGAATAGGAGTAGAATATAGGAACAGAATAGAAAATAGAATAGAATAGAAAATAGAATAGAATAGAACATAGAAGAGAAGAGTAGAGAAAATAGAATAGAATAGAATAGATATTGGAATAAAGAATAGAATAGAGTAGAATATAGGGATAGGATAGGATAGAATAGAACAGAATAGAAAATAGAATAGAATAGAACATAGAAGAGAAGAGAAAATAGAATAGAATAGAATAGATATTGGAATAAAGAATAGAATAGAGTAGAATATAAGAATAGAACAGAATAGAAAATAGAATAGAATAGAATAAATGAATAGGAATACAATAGGAAAGGGGATAGAATAGAATAGAATAGAGAAAGGGAAAGGAAGAGAAGAAATCAGGGATCCGCAGCCTTGGCAACTTTAAGACTTGTGGACTTCATCCCCCTTTGCTGGCTTTGGTTTCCTGGCTGAGGAACTCTGGGAGTTGAAGTCCACAAGTCTTAAAGTTGCCAAGGTTGGAGACCCCTGGAAGAGAGAATAGGAGAAATGAACAGAATAGAAAAGAATACAATAGAACAACAGAGTTGGAAGGGGCCTTAGAGGTCTTCTAGTCCAACCCCCTGCTTAGGCAACAAACCCTGTATACCATTTCAGATTATTCCAGTCTCTTAAAAGCTTCTAGTGTTGGAGCCTCCACAACTTCTGGAGGCAAGTTGTTCCACGGATTAATTGTTTTCTCACCATTAGGAAATTCTCCTTCATTTTAGGTTGCTTCTCTCCTTGATTAGTTTCCACCCATTCAGATACTTTGGACAATAGGTTGACTCCCCTCTTCTTTGGGGCAGCCCCTGAGATATTGGAGCCCTGCTCTCCTGTCTCCCCTGGTCCTTCTCTTCCCTAGACTAGCCAGGCCCAGTTCCTGCAACCGTTCTTCGTATGTTTTATCCTCCAGTCCCCTGATCCTCTTGGTTGCTCTTCTGTGCACTTTTTCTAGAGTCCCAACATCATTTTTTATTTTTTTTTTACATTGTGGCGACCAAAACTGGATGCTGGATTCTACTTGTGACCTTACCAAGGCCTTATAAAGTGGCATTAACACTTCACGTGATCTGGATTATCTCCCTCTTTTAGTGCAGCCCAGGATTGTGTTGGCTTTTTTGGCATCTGCCGCACACGGCTGGCTCCTATTGAAGTGATTTGTCCACTAGGAATTGTTCAGAACATCTGCGGCATTTTTGCCCCCTCGGTATCCGTTGAAGTCCTCTCTCTTTCTCCACTGTAGTGGACTCTCTGGCTGTCATTAAAGGGTTCAGGATTTTTTTTTCCCCTTAACCAAAGCAAAAAAATACTGCTTTGAAATGAAATGGATGGCAAAGAACAGATAATCTCCGACTTACAACCATACCTCATTCAAAGTTACAACAGCACTGGAAAAAGTGACATAACCACCTTTCACACTTGGGGGCCATTGCAGCATCCCCGTGGTCATGTGATCAAAATTCAGGCTCCTTGGCAACTGGTTCGTAGTTATGACAGTCGCAGGGTCGTCCCCCCCCCCCCAGGGGTCACATGATCCCATTTTGCGCCCTTCTGTCAAGCAAAATCCACGGGGAAGCCAGATTCACTTAATAAATGGGTTACTAGCTCAAGACCTACAGTGATTAATTCAACAACTCTGGCTAGAGGGGTTGTAAAATGGGGCCAAACTCACTTAGCTGTCTTGGTTAACGGAAATTTTGGGTTCGGCCATGGTTGAGGACTACTTATAAATATTGAGGACTACCTATAAATATAAACAAACAAATGGTTGAGAGAGAGAGAGAGAGATGGAGGGATGGATGGATATACAGAAAAATAGAGATGGGTGGATGGATACATGATATAGAGATAGATGATAGATAGGGATGGAGGATGGATGGAGGATAGAGATAAGAAGATAGATGAAAGAATATGGATGGATAGATATGAATGGATGGGTGATCCAAAGATAGATGGATGGATGGATGGATGATAGATAATGATAAAGATACATAGATTCATAGAAGAGAGATAGATGGATGGGTGGGTGGATGATTGGATAGATGGATAGATAATGATAAAGATACATAGATTCATAGAAGAGATAGATGGGTGGATGATTGGATGGATGGATGGATGGATGGATAGATAATGATAAAGATTACATAGATTCATAGAAGAGATAGATAGATAGATAGATAGATAGATAGATAGATAGATAGATAGATAGA